TTCCGAAATTTCGCAGCTGCCTTTCCATCTTTTTTATGTACTTCTGCCAGCCACTGGGCACCCTTCTAATCTTTTCATTGATCACAAGGGATGCATCCCTTCTACAGCTTAGAAAGATTTCCCATTTTCTTTCAACATCATCTGTCGGTTCACCCCGCTGCTTAGCATGTCTGTGTTCCCTAGAGTCTTCCTGACGTTTCGCGATGGCTCTTTTAACTTCCTCATCCCACCAACTTTTGGGTTTGTGTCTTCTTTTCCGGGGTGACTTGTCACGTGCCTTAGCAAGCTAGAACACTCTAATTCGATTCGTATATGTCCACCCTGTTTTATTATCCTTAGTGATTACTTTCTCAATTTGTTTAGTGACTATTTCAATTTGCCTTTCTGGATAAAAATTTTCCTGTAGTTGCTCATCTTGTCTCCTTCCCACTTTCACTGCTCTTCCAAAACTTAGCTCGATACGTTTGTGATCACTACCCAGACTTCTGGAACCACCTTCATCTATGCCCATTCCCCTGAGCTTATCATACATCCTATGTGACATCAATGCGTAATCTATCGTCGTCTGCAGCCTTCCTACCTCCCATGTTATTTGCCCTTCACACTTCTCGGTACTGTTGCAAATGATCAAATCAAGCCTTTCACACATATCCATGATCATTTTGCCTGTCGGGGCGGGTGCCCATCTATATCTTCCATGCGTGCATTCATATCTCGTAGTATAATTATCTCGCACTCTCCTTGTAACTCCGGAATGTCCTTTGATATACATTGTACCATTGCCTGGTTTTCCTCTCTGGCCTTTGCTCCCGTCCACAAGTACCCGAAACCAAGGAGTGTCATTTGCCCTGCCACTTTCCCTGTTATCCATAAATGTTCCTTGCACTCCTGCTTGACCCTTTGCCAGTCTGTACTTTTATGAATGAATGCCCCAATACCACCCCCTTTCTGCCGCCTTCTGTTCTCTTACAATATTCCCACGCGTAGTCTGCATTGTTAGGAGGTTGTTCCATGTCCCTGAGATGTGTTTCTACAAAACCGTATACCATCGGCCTCTCCTCCCCTATAGCTGTTCTTCTGTCTCTTCCCACTTCAGCCTGTTCCTACCACCCTGCATGTTAATATACCCTATGTCTGAATTGGCTCGGCGCTCGTGGCTACGTCTATTTCTGCCCCGTACTCTACCTATCTTAGATACTGGTGCCACTTTGGATTCGTATCTGTCCATACCACCTGTCAAAGAGTCTCCCTGGTTGTTCTCCTCGTTACTAGCTATCCTGTACCACGAAGGACCCACTTGCCCCCAAAAAAGCTACTACGCGTCCTGCAAGTCGCCAACCCACCTCATGACCTAGCCGCCCATCGAACTGAATTCTGTCTCGTTGAAAACCACCCCACCTATGCACCTCTCTGTTTATTTCCACCACCTCAAAGCCTTTCTCTCGACTCATCCGCCATATCTCTTGGTCTGCGTTGACAACCGCTCTTTGCAGGTTGATATCACGCACCGGTACCTCAGGTATCGTGCATATCGCTACCTGTACCTGAGGAGAAGTGGCGTGCATGTCATCGACGCCTTTCGCCAGTGTAGTTGCTAGTCCTGCTGTATCTTCATTTAGGACAACGTTTAAACCACCTGAAATTATCACGAGGTTTCGTCTATCATCTGTAGTTTTGGTTTTGCGCTCGCTTGCCTCATAACTGCTTCCAGCTTGCGTCCTGGGAACGCCCCTACTGCAACCCTCTTGTCACCTCTTACCCTCTCTTTGATGGCTTCTGTGCATCGATTTAAATTCGAGTCCCCGGCGATTATCACATGTGACTTTTCAGCTGGAGCGTCCTGCACATGGGGGTTACTTGCACCTGTGACACCGGCTGCTTTGTCCCCTCCCAGCCCCACCACTACTACTTCACTGAAGCTGGGCCTTGCGACAATTGAACCGGCTGAACCTGTTTTTTCCAAACTTGCTAGCTCTTCCTTCTCCACCGTTCTGGTTGCCGGTTCTCTACGGTTCTCTCCGTAGGCCGTTCCTCTGTTCACCTTGGCTAGTGCTTCCTCGGCGGACTTCAGCCTTTTTCCCATTGCCCTCGTTTTCCCTTGCTCTGTCACCAACGCAGTCTCGAGTTCGGTGATTCTCATCAGTAGGTGACTCTGGGTAACCATCATTTTATCCATTTTTTCCTCGACCTCACATTGCCTACACTTCGCGTCAGCCTCTTCTCCTTCCGCTTCTACTCTTAGGTCCACTTTCAAACCAACCCCACATCCTGAACACTTCATAGTCTTTTTAACCATGTCTTTCCGACACCAATTGTCCCTATGACTTGTCTCACTCGATAATTACAAAACTCGAGCCCTACCCTATGTAAAAGAGAAAGCCTAAGCTCTACTACAAAAATTAGCGTGTTCAATGTACGTGCACCTCCCCCCACGGGGTGGCAAAAGAAAAACGAAAACAACAAAAAAAACAAAAAAATCAAACACACACGCACGCACAATAAAAAAGCCGTACAATAAAATAAGTGCTACAGGGATTTTAACTGCTGCCCTATAATTATAAAGACAAGCTCAAAACATGCAAAACAACTTATCTGCGCAGTCAATCGGGAGCGCTCAAAAAACACATCCATCCACCGTGACAGTCTGAACCGAACCAACACGATCGGTCGTGCGCCCCCTACGGTCGCATTCCGCCACGCGGTCGCACGCAGCGTCCGGCCACTGTGTCCGTGTTCCGCGTGAAACTCACCGGCGTCCGCATCCTGCGACCGGGGTGACTGAGCACGGTGCAAGTGACACTTGAACGCGGTTGCTGTTACCTTGAGATTACATGCAATGCTGGGGTAGAGTATACGAAGCGGAACAGAAAAGGTACGTGTGTTTTAATACGCACATGCAAGTTGTTACTGTACACACACAACACGAAACTTCGTTTGTGCACATATCCTCATTGCGTCTTGCTGGGCTCAACAGCGCCGTCCATTGTCACAAGCAGGAGCACTGCCCAAGCGTCCTGCAAGGCGTTCGTCGTCGTTCCGCTTCGTCATGGTGCCCACCGCAATTTCGCTGAACACTAATTGCTTCATCCGCCGCACGACACATGGATGTGCATTCGTCTTACGCAGTGTTGAAACCCCGCGATGGACAAAAGGATTTGTAAACGTTGCTAAGAGTACAGTAACTACCAGGAGACCACTGCGTAACTAGTAACTCGGCGCAGAGCACGAATATTGTCCGCCACGGCTCAGCTCAAGACCTGGGGAGGCACACATGCCGCCGCTAGCCACGGCCACTCACTGCTAGACCAGCTCCACTGCGCAGCACGTAACCATAGCAACGCCGCCATTGTGCCGAGTGAATATGGCCGCCATAATATCATTTCCTCCACACTTTTTCACGTAGCGCGCCGGCTGAGCATGCCCTTTCTTATCTTTCCTTCCTCCGTGGGATTAACTCACTGCATGGAGGAACTCCGTGACTCACTGCATGCTCACTCGTGTCACTCCCGTAACCTCTGTCGGTTGTGCACGTTGCAGTGCGTCGCTATCCGTGGAGGCTTAGTTCTTTCTGCGTGAACAGTTTTGTGCTTCAGCGTGTCCTGTTCTGCTTTGCATGTGTTGTGTGTTTTCATCATGCCCACACGTTGCGTTCCCGGCTGTATGAGTGGCTACAGGAAACGAGAGACATGTACCACGACATTTCTTTTTTGCCTCACGTGTATGCCTGAACAGCGAAAGGCATGGGACCACGCTATTTCTCGTGCGGATAAGAAACTGCCCAGCACATCACGTGTGTGATATGCACTTTCATAAGGAGGACATCCTGAAGACTTTCACTCACGTTATCAATGGTAAGAAGGTACAAATCGCCAGAGGAAAGTGAGATCTCAACGAAGGATGCGTTCTACGAATATTCCCGAATTTGCCCGCTTATACCTTTCAAAACGCGTAATAAACCCGCGATATCATGGGCGAAAAAGAATAGAGTATCTCCGATCACTGAGCTCGAAGACAGTGAAATAAGTTCCGACATGCCATCAACGAGTGGCGTCAGTTTGCTTCAAGACATAGAAAACGTTTGTTTGCCTGCTGCATGCTGGCGGAACGTTGCTGAGAATGGCGAGACAAGACGTCGTGTGATGTTTCTAGTGTTCAAAGAAGAAAAAAAGAGCGCCACTTGAGGAGAAATGCGTATAGTCGTCGCAGAAGATGGGAGTCACCATTAGCAGCCGTCACCATTGTTTAGTCAAGTCGACCGGCTATGCAGATGCCATCACCCAATTGGCCGAACTTCTGGAGGACATAGAAAGCTGAAAGTGTGTTCATGTTGTCTTTGTGCGTCGGCACGTAGCATCGTGAGTAATGACTACGAAGTGCTCGCCATGTAACCCAAAGCGCGGTCCCTGCTTGAAGCTTTGGCTTCAGCTGTGTTAACAGGTTTCATTAGAGGAACTCAAGAAGTTGTAGAGGGGAGGCATGCTCAAAAAAAGGGCCGCACGTGCAGCTTTTCGACAGTCTAAGTTGCTCAAGATTGTGATTGACATGAAAAAAAAAAAAAAAAACTGACTACAGAACCAGACAAAATGCACGGGAATGCGCAAAATAGTTGTAATTCATTTTAAGGCATGAAAAACACAATCACAAGAGAGGATACAAGACAATGTATTTGCGGTTTTTGCGCTTAAAATCAATTGCGAACGTACACCAACTAGCAACTAACGGAAAGACTCGTATATATGTATGTGAACGATCGTTTATCGTGGGCAGTTCAGAAAGGCATACTTATACTGTATTTACCTTATGCCACTCAATATTACGCAGCATTAAGTTTCTGCCGCAGCCCAACAGCAAATCCTGATAATATAATGTTGGCAAAGCCATTCAGAACGGCCGCCACGGCGTCTTACCACGACGACTACGCGTTTTTATCTGCTAGCGGAAGCTTGTTGCGCCACTAGCGCCACTAAACCGAAAGCTGTCATTGCGCCGTGTGACGGGTTGTCGGAGGCGGGGAGTTTTGCAGCTTACCTACTTCTGAAAACGTTGTTTTGAACTGACGCCAAATTAATCTGAATGAACGCCTCTAGCATTAGTTATACAATGCGTTAGAGTATTTAGAACATAACTCTCACATTACCAGACGCAAAGCTACAAATTACATTTAAAAAACTCGCAAACAAAACTTTTGCTGTCGGGGGTCCTGTGACACTCAGCAGAGTCTATGTGGGCAAATACAGCCGTATAGAAACGGCAGTAGCTGATGTATCTCTTTAAAAAAACGGCCTACTGGGAAAATTTGTTGTTTATGAATAAGTCTCTTTTGTTACCAGGACATCCACAGAGCCATGAAGAAAACCCATGCAGGCGCGCGCTCGCGAGCTCTCGCGAGCAAGGCTTCCAGTGTTCCAGACCGGCCGCACTCGTGGTAACGTACACCACAGAGGAAGTCGTAGCTATCTAGCAACTGTGGAGGCGAACTACAAGATGGCGCAGCTCTCAGAGTCGCAAGATGATACCAAAATGGAATTTAATGATTATGGAATACCCTTAGAAATTGTCCCTCGCTTAAGCTGTACTGACCCTGAAGCGGATCGGCTAATCGCAAACATGGTGAGCTACAATGCATCTGATAGCCTGTTTTGCCGTGTACCTTAAAAACCATTTCTAAAGTGTTTGCGACGTCTCAGATGAACTGTTATGTATTTCACTTATGCCGTTGTTTTCATCTGTAATCACTCTGAGCTTTGTATGGTCACATTTTTCGCTCACTTTGACGTGATTGTGGCGTGATGCATCTGTTATCTTTGTGAATGCACATACGAGTGATTCACCCCAAGCACACGCAAGGCGACTCTTCGAATTTCAGGCACGTGATGAGCTTGGTCTGCACGCGCGTTTGACTTCGTGACATTACACACGGTGTCGATCCTTATAAGCGAAGGGCACTAAGTACGGTAGCCACACGTTAAAAGCTTCGCCCTAGCCCCAGCATTGGACAAAGAATGTACCGCACTAAATCGTCAATCTAGCGGCATCCTTCCAACAGCTGCAACCAATCGCGCCGTCTTCGCACACGGTGCAATTTCGATTACCACCAAGTTCTCTCGGAATCGACCTTCACGAGTGTGATTGGCGCGGTTACGTAGCTCGCGCAAAGGAACCGATCGCGATTGAGAAATTACGTTCACATGAAATTTCTCGTCCGCTATTGGCTCCCTTCCTCATCTAGCGCAAGTGTCAACCACGATCAAGATAATGGATCTTGATCAAAAGTGCATTTTGTGACAGCGATAAAAACTTTCTCCTGCTAGCAGTGCTTACAAGATGTGTGTATGTGTCTTTGAAACATTGTTTTGCGAATTGAGCTACACGGGTGTGTCGCAACCTCTTGTTTTGTCAGACTCGTTTAGGATACTCTGTTGTACTTTTCTTTTTGTCATTCTAGGTCTTTGATATTTTCTTAATGCTGCAAATTATTGCTACCTATTAGATGCCTGCAGTCCTGACGGACACCAACTTGGTCACATCGGCACTTAAGTGGGATTTGGACTACCTCTGTGAGCACATGGGAAGCGGTGACTGCACCGTGTATGAATCAGATTCTGTTGTCTTCAAGTATTACGACGATGCCAAGGTCAAGGAACATCGACTCAAAAACTTTTCCCCTCCAACTCGTCGACTGGAGATGAAAATAGGCCAGTTTGCAGAGCAATTGAGGAATGGTGGCCGAACCAAGTGAGCCATATGCTAATTATACATGTAATCTTTGACTTAAGACTAGGGTGTGAAGTACTGATTTCACATTTTTACCTGCATCAGTTAAAAGCTATATCTTGCAGAATTTTTTTTTTGTATTTCGAAAGTATCATGAACAAAGTATCAGGGGGGGGGGGTGACGGGCAGAAGTAATGAGAATGTTTTTTTTTTGTTTAGTTTTTGCTTTGCTCGAAACATTCAATAGCTTGCTGCCTACTGCGAGGACAATGCAGTGAAGATACAGCATTTTTAATTGTTTGAAACGATTCTGGAACCATTACTCACTTATTCTCAGGTGCATCATCATTTCATCATTTACCTTCCTCATATATTTAGGAAACAGAAGTGCAGTAGTGTGATATACGTGGGCTGTATAAAAAGCGAGTTGCTTTTTTCATGACATGATGGTAAAAGCACATACGCAGAGCCTACCTTTTCAGAACTAGGTGTGATTACAAATACACTTAGTTCTGTGTAGGTATGTGTGTTGTCATGGTGCACAAGCCGCTAACCTCACTTCTACGAACAGGAGCATTTTCCTCTGAACTGTTGACTCAGGTGCTTGGCCTTTTCAGAGTAAGATTGGTAGCCATTTTGTGGTAGAAAATTAAACTGACCTTTTTTTCTATTTTAATGATTGTAATCAAAATCGTCCTCGCTTTTAGTTTGCCTTGTTCAACATATAATTGAAATCTTCCAAGATAGTTTATAGGGCTCCTGTTCATAAAGAAAAAAAAAAAGCTTCATGCACGTACATTGTTTTACGTCTACCATTGTAAAAACAAATGCAGATGGCTACAGAACGACAAAAGCGATTAGTGCAGAGAGCTGATGAAACTTATGAAAGAATCAGCACTGGAAATTTGGACTTGTTGGTACATAAATATAAAAATAAAAATAGCGCTGCATGAACAGGGGCATAAGACACACAACATAGCGCCTGTGTTGTATGTCTTCTTCATGTGTCCCCATTCACTCAGCGCTGTTTTTTTCATCATTATGAAAGGATGCTGCTTTGCCAACTAATGCGAACATTAGTGTAGTACATGCTCCTAGGGGCACATGTGGGTGTTAGGTAACTGCCCTAGCACTTCAGTAAAAAAAAAAAAGATTCTCATTACTTACTCAATACATTTAAGTGCCCCCTTCTATTTAAGGGGAGATGCTAGTCAAAAAATGCATTTTTTGGGAAGTAACATATTTTTCGTTTTTATTTGCTTTCACAAGCATTACAAGCTTTTTTCACAAGTTGTTTCTCTACTTTCATGACAAAAGAAACTGAAGAATGTGATTGAACTGGAACTAGGTTAAAATCACTTCTCAAGAGCACAAGGTAGCTACTAAAAACTAAAAAGAGCTCATTGTCTAGAGTCCCCTGGAAATTGAAACCTGGCTGCTTGCCATTGCATTTCACATGAGGAGTTCACTGAAGCCACATGCTCAAAATAACCATGATTGCCAAGCCTTCATGAATGAAGAAATCATTTTAAAAAACATATTCTTTTCGTATAGATGAGTTTTCACTTATACCTTTAAAATGGTTTTTTTTTTTTTTTTCAAGGTCCATTTTTGGACAGCTTCTGGAGTTGAGACATCATGTTTTTGTTCTTCTGATAGCCCGATCGAGATTAAATTTTGCCCACATATTTCTTAACATGTGAAGGGTGCAAGAATACCTTTTAAAACTTATCGTCTGTGTAGTTATTATAAACCTAAGGTAAGCAATTAGTATGGGCTGAGCATTCGAAGAATTCTCACATAACAATTTTTCTTAGGCATTTAAATGTCTTGCACGAACTTTTTTGATAGGTATTTACATTCTACAGTTAATGTGCAGTAATATGAGCCATTAATAGCTGGAACCCTACAAGTTTTGTGGCATAAAACGTTTGTCTAAAACAAACTAGAGTTTGCACATTGTATTGTAAAAACGAAAGCTCTGCAACTTACTATAAAACTAACTACATATTGGAAATCTGCATAAAAGGCTATATACACAGCAAAAATTTCATTGCCCTTGGCTACAGATGAACTTAAGCTTTTTTCTAATTGCATCTCCCATTAAAAGTGATCTGCAACATATTTCAATAATGCAGAAGTTTCTTCACTTACTTCCACCATAGTTATCCTTTCATAAATGCAGATCTTTGAGCATGTAACACTGTGTTGAACAGACCAGCCTTTTTTATGGGCCTGAGACAGATGTGTATGTCTGTGTGTGTGCATGCATGTGTACGTGAGTGTATACCTACACATACACGCAGCTACAGTTTTCCTGTGAGGATGTACTGCATGGCTTTAAGCAAACCTGCATATAGTAACACTTATATTCAGTGACTTTTGTGTCTGATAATGGGATAGAGAAAGAGATGTCAAAAGATGGAAATGCTTGAAATATTAGACCAGGTGTTGCAGAGTCACCTTGTGTTAGGATTGTCAAAAACTGCCGGAAAAAAGAGCCTGCTCCTTTCGAATATCTGGTTTTACTCCATAAGTCAAGTAAGCATGGATTTTTATCATTTCTGAATTGGAATTGTAAAATGCCATTGTAGGCAAATGTTCGTTTACCAGTTCCTCTATAATGCGCAGTGTGACCCACATTTAAGTGAATTCCACTAATTATTGATTAGCATATGCTTCTCAAGTAATTAATTTTCTTTTTACAATGCTCGTGTTCACTCTCAGCTTTGGTGTATTTCTTAGTTGTTTTTACAGGGACAATGATATTGTATTGTATAGTATCTCTTTGTAGCTGTTGTAACTGCCGTTTTAGGTAAACTGTGCTTAGTTGCTGTTTCAGTGGCGCTGGCACATGCAAGCATCAAATATGCTGCTATTGCCATTAAATTTTTTCTAAAGCAACTGCACTTATCTAATTAATCATTGTGTATTTCTGTGTTGTATCTAACATTGTGGCAATGACTTAATTGTGCTTTTTATTGCATTAAATGCATATTTGATACCACTGGTCAGCTTTTCATAGTTATGGTTTTGGTGTATTCTTTTTCAAAACTATACAGTGTGCTTCTTGCACCTAACTTTGTTTATCCAAAGTTGCCTACACTTTATAGGTACTACTTGCAGCAGTCCTTGAATGAAACAGTTGGGCGGAACATGGTGCTTGACTTCCTCAGCTTTAACTGGCAGTGGGTTAACCGGCAGCAGAAGCAAAATGCCTGGGGCCCTCTGACATCAAACCTCCTCCTTGTTGCCACTGAAGGTCAGCAAGTATTAAATTTAAGCATCATATTGCCTACATTTCTGTTTTTCTTGACATGTTAGCCCACTGGTACTATTACAACGTCGTGTGGTGCTTCTGAAAAGCGATCATTAGTTACCTATACATGTTCCCATCGGCTTCATTGTAGTACAATTTGCATATCACGATAGTACCCTCTCTTGTGTCATATGGACAGGCTGCATGTTTATGAACACTGTTGTGATTCAGGCTGCGATAGTACCCTCTCTTGTGTCATACGGACAGGCTGCATGTTTATGAACACTGTTGTGATTCAGGCTGCGAGACACCCATTAACAGGTACCTCGTATTCATGTTGTGTTTTCGGCTTGTAAAGCACTGAAACTTAAATAGGATGGAGGTTGAGAGATCTTTTGCGGGATTGAATTGAGGCTTTGGCAGCCACATTTGAGTGCAGGCCCATGTGCTTATATTTAAGTGCATGGTAAAGAAGCAGCAGTGGTCAAAATGTCTGAAACCCTCTACGTCTGCATCTCTCACAATCATGTGGTGGTTTTGTCACATAAAACATTAGTTATTATTATTATTATTATTATTATTATTATTATTATTATTATTATTATTATTATTATTATTATTATTATTATACGGATGATGCCTATGTTGAATTCAAGTGAGCACTAATTGGATAAGCTCTTTTTAGACCATTTGTATGTACTAAATCTGCACCTGTGTCATGCTGTTTTGAAACCATTCAAGTGTAGGAGTACTTTTACTGGTACTGGTTAAGTTGCCCTCTCTTGTGACGACATTCTGTTGCAAGCAATATGCACTGATGGAAAGTTTGACAAATGTTTCATAGCAAAAATATTTATTTAATAGTAGCTCATTGTGCATCTTTCATGTAGCATGGTACTAAAGCCTTTTTTTGTATCTAAAAACTTACTTTTAAATCTGAATTCACCAAAACATGTAAACCTTCATTAATGTGCATGCGAACTGTAACTTTTATGACATAAATGTTTTTATGCTGTATTTTTTCTAAACAACATACTTTGTGCACTTTATGGGAATGTCTTGTACAAGCGTGATTATGTTTCCTCAAGCAGCTACACCTCTTAGTCATGTCAATACAAAATATCATCATCATCTTCAGCCTGACTATGGCCACTGCAGGCCAAAGGCCTCTCCCATAATCCGCCAATCAACCCGTTCTCGTATTTTTCGTTGCCACATTATACCTGCAAACTTTGTAATCTCATCGGCCCACCTAACTTTTTATATCCCCTTCGTGCGTTTGCCTTCTCTGGGAATACAGTTAGTTACCCTTAATTACCAGCAGTTATCCTGCCTACGCGCTGTGTGCCCGGCCCATGTCCACTTCTTCTTCTTGATTTCAACTATGGTATTCTTAACCTCCGTTTGATCTCTGACCCACTCTGCTCTCTTCTCGTCTCTAAAGGTTACACCTATACACCTATCATTTTCCTTTCCATCGCTCGCTGCGTCGTCCTCAATTTAAGCTGAACCCTCTTTGTAAGCCTCCAGATTTCTGCTCCGTAGGTAAGTATTGGGGAGATGCAGCTGTTATATACTTTTCTCTTGAGGGTTAGTGACAGATTACCATTCATGATTTAATAATGCTTGCCAAATGTGATCCACCCCATCCTTGTTCTTCTATTTATTTCACTCTCATAGTTCGGCTCAGCAATTACTGCCTGTCCTTAGTAGAGCTATTCCTTTGCAACTTCCAGTGTCTCTTCACCTATCTCAACTAGATGTTTTCTGCCGAGACTATTGCACATTACTTAAGTTTTGTGCGTATTAATTTTCAGACCTATCTTTCTGCTTTCAGTGTCCAGTTCAGTAATCATGAGCCGTAATTCGTCTTCTGAGTTACTCATCAAGTCAATGACATCAACGAATCACAGGTTACTAAGATCCTCTCCATTAACTCTTGCCCCTAACTCTTCCCAATCTAGGGCCCTGAAAACCTCCTGCAAACACAAGGTGAATAGCATTGGAGAGATCGTGTCTCCCTACCTTACACCCTTCTTTATTGGGATTCTGTCGCTTTCTTTGAAGAACTGTGGCAGCTGCGGGTACACTGTAGATTTCATCCAGTATGTTTATGTAGCGTTTTTCGATGTCCTTATTACATAGTGCCTGCATTACTGCTGATGTCTATATTGAGTCCTTCTAGTAATCTATGAAGGCTATTTATAGGGCTTGGTTGTATTCCGCACATTTATTTATTACCTGAATGATAGTATGCATATGGTCTATTGTGGAGTAGCCTGAACGAAATCCTGCTTGGTCCTTTGCTTGATTGAACTCTGATGTCGCCTTAATTCTATTAGCTTCATATCTATTAGCTTCATAGCTATCATATGGTGGTTTTGGGACGTTAAACCCCACATATCATTAATTCTATTAGCTATTTTTTTTTGTAAATAGTTTGTGGAGAACAGACAGCAACCTGATCAACCTGTAATTTTTCAAGTCCTTCACGTCTCCTTTCTTATGGATTAGGATGATATTGGCATTCTTTTAAGATTCTGGTACCCTTCCCGTCTAGAGACACTTCGTATATAAGGTGGCCAGTTTTTCTAACACAATTTCTTCGCCATCTTTCAGGAGGTCCATTGTTACTTTATTCTCACCAGTGTTTTTGCCTCTTTGCATTTCTTCTAGGGCATTCCTTACTTCCCCTGTCGTTACTGGTTGGATGTGGAATTCCTCTGATCCCTTATTGTTTCTCACAATATCATCCTGGTTTTTTTGGCTTCTGTACAGCTCTCTGTAGAACTCCTCCGCCACCTCAACTATCCTATCTATATTGGTTACGACATTGCCTTCCTTGTTCTTTAGTGTATACATCCGATTTTTGCCTATGCACAAGTTTGCTTTCGCAACTTTTAGGCTTTTGCCACTTTTTGCATTGCAGCTGCTCAATTCTCTCCATGTTATACCGTCCGACATCGGCTACCTTACGCCTATTAACTCCGAAAGCTCCACTAGCTCTATTTTGTCTGTTACATTTGAGGCTTTCATAGTTCGTCGTCTCTTAATAAGATTTTTCATCTCCTGAGGTTGTAGTTTGCCAGTGTCCTGTCTTGTGAATGCACCTCCAACTTCTATTGCACACTTTTTGATGATAATAGTAAGATTATCATTTATTTTGTCAACACCAACATTGGTCATTTCGTTTGGTGCCTTGAATATATTCTGAAGCGATATTCTAAATTCCTGTATTTTCGCTATCACCGCTAGTTCATTAGTTGGCTTCTTGCATATCAGTTTTTGTCTTTGCTTTTTTTAAATCTAAGGGAATACGAGCTCTTACCATTTCATGGTCACTGCATCGGATCTTGCCTACTAGTTCTACATCCTGTACAATGCCTGGTTGTGCACACAGAATGAAATCTATTTAATTTCTAGTTTTGCCATTAGGACTTCGCCACGTCCACTAACGGTTAGCCCATTTTGTGAAGAAGGTATTCAAGATTCATAAATTATGTTCTACAAACTCTACTAATAACTTTCCTCTGGTATTTCTAGAGCCGATGCCATATTCTCCCACTGCATGGTCTCTAGCCTGTTTCCTGCCTACTTTGGCATTATAGTCGCCCATCACAATAGTCTACTGTGACTTAACGTTATTATTGGCTGGCTCTACATCTTCATAAAAGTGTTCAACCAAATGATCCTCATGGCTCGATGAAGGCGTGTAGTCTTGTACCACCTTGATCTTGTACCTTTTGTTAAACTTAACTATGATACTTACTACCCTCTCACTGATGCTATAGTGTTCTTCTATGTTGCCAGTGATATACATCTGTATAAAAAAAACCCACCCCTAGTTCTTTTCTCTCAACTAATCTTACGCTGGCATGCTAGCATAGGACATGTCCATTCATCAGCACTGTATAAGCCTCGTGTCCTCCTAAATTGAACACCCTCTAATTCCTCGTTTAGGACAGCTAGACTAGCCTCCCTAAATAGCGTTCTAGCTGTATTTGTTTCTAAACAACATATTTTGTGCACTTTATGGGAATGTTTAGCACAAGCGTGATTATGTTGCCTCAAGCAGCTACACCTCTTAGTCATGTCAACACAAAATGAATCATATGTAACTTTTTTATTAGGTGCTTACTTCAATGGGAATTGGAATACCAGCATAAAAAATTAGGCATAGTATTCTGATAAACTTTTGGAAGCTGCCCTCTTTTTTAATTTGCTTGATCGATGTTGCCTGTGTCATAAAACAGCTAAAAAGCTTAATTTTAGTGGTTTTGCACCTGCATTTCTAGCAAACTAGAATTGCAATTTAGGCGTGTTTGTAGGACTTCATACTTGAACAAGCAGTGCAATAAAACAACGGCACAAGGAAGATCAAGAACACCAGACGAGTGCTATCTTCAAGCTAAAGTTTGTTGTTGTCAGGTACAGTAAAATCTCGTTAATTCAGACTTCACGGGACCGGAGAGAATGTTTGAATTAACCGAGGGTACGAATTATCGTGAGTACGAACACAACACTTGAAAAATGTCTCCTATACCATCAGACCTTTATTTCTTAAAAAAGTCTGCTATCGCGGCTTGCTTCATAGACGCAATGTGCAACGAAGTCACAGTTTTGTGAAGTTCCTGCAAGTGGCTTAGTCCGTGCACACTGTCCGAGGAAAGCATGCATATGTCCTCCACAATGGCCAACGCATACGCAGCCTCCATCATTGTGTGGCGTGGACGCTCGTCAGCATCATTTACATCCTCGTCAGCCAATTCCCCATCGCCGTCCAAGACTTCGGCGACAATATCGCTGTCGGTCACTGTGCCGGCCATGGCAACATTGCTGTCAATTGCGAAGTAATCACCCAGGGGCACATCAGCTGGCATGATGCTCACATAGCGGCCGTCTTGCTTTTCGCCGGTTTCCTCATCAGCCACTACACCCGAATCGGCAGCGTTGTGCACGAAGCCACTATGCCTAAAACACTTTGTGACTACTTCAGGCGATGTTCGCCGGTTTCCTCATCAGCCACTACACCCGGATCGGCAGCGTTGTGCACGAAGCCACTATGCCTAAAACACTTTGTGACTACTTCAGGCGATGTGTTGTTCCACACGTATGTCAGCATGTGATTTGCACTTAGCAGGCTTACTTCGTACTGCTTGCCTGACTCTATGCAGAGCAACATCCGCTCAAGTACCTGCCATCGATAGCGGCTTTTCACGAACTCTATGATTCCCTGGTCCATTGGCTGCAGGGAAGACGTTGTGTTCGGAGGCAGGAATAGCAGTTCAATGTTCTCGAGTCCGGACACCTTCGTGTGCGCACTACAGTTGTCTAGCACAAACAACACTTTCCGAGCCTTGGCCACAAAGCGGCGGTTGAGCTGACACAGCCTGGCTTGAAAGAATTCAGCTGTCATCCAAGCCTTTCTATTGAACCGGTGGTCAAGAGGCAGCTGCTTAATATTCTGAAAACATCTTGGCATCGCAGCCTTCTCGATCGCAGCCACTCTGTGCCGGTCATGTTAGCAGCCACAAGAAGTGTCACGCGCTCTTTACTTTGTATTCCACCGACGCACGGGTCCCCCTTAAACGCGATTGTCTTGTCAGGCAGAGCCTTATAAAACAGCGCCGTCTCATCAGTGTTGAAAATGTTGCACGGCTTACACGTACAAAGGCGCGCGGATAGTCCAGACCGCCAGTCCTGCACATTTCGTCAACCGCACCTCTTTCACCGCACACATTGCGGAACACCTGCCCATGTCGCTTCTTGAAGCGGTCAAACCAGCCTTTTGGCGCATTGGAGGAGTCAATGTTCATGGTCACTGTGAACTTCTCTGCTTGTGCGCAGATAAGGGGGCGGCTCAAGGGCAAATGCGCATCGCGCAAAATAGCAATGCAGCGGAACAGCGCTTCTTCTAGCTGGAGATGCGCTGCTGTTCAAAGCCTCTTCCTTTGGTCGTCAAGCATGTCCCCGTCATACGCTTGCATAATCTGCTCTTCGTTCTTCACTTAAGTGTTCTCTTCCTTCTTCACGTGCTCAGCGTGCTTTTCTTCACATTGAACTTTTCCATCACTTCTTTTTGAGATGCTTTAGCTTGCAACGCCTTCGCAGCTAAATCCTTTGCTTCGTACTTCGCCCTCTTCGCTGTGGGAGTTAAGGTGGTTGGAGCCGCAGGAAACGGAGGGGAAGCCATCCCGGCGTTGCTCGCGCGGTGGTCGCGCGCGCGCACGAAGTAGACAAACACACACACATAGACACACACACAAAAACGCACGGTGATAAAAATGAAATAAAAACCGGCGAACTTCTCATAAAACAGAAAACAGTAAGCAGAAGGCACTCATCCCGTACAGATAAATAATTTGAAGCACACTAGAGGTGAGCAATCCAACTCAACCGTCACGCAAAAGTGTTCGACGTGCAAGAAAAAAGGAAAGGCAAATCCGGGGGTTGCCCGTTGCTGATGGCAGTAGTGATGCACTGCCTTCCATTTTGGTTGTTTAAACCACCATGTGTGTTCTTTGGGGGGTGCCTCCGAGATGTACTACCAATGGACGAAGTTTTGAATCTCAGAGGCCGCAATCCGATCCCAAAGTTGTTCAGGTGCGCCGTCGATTTGGTCAAAAGAATTCGCTGCTGCTGCCCCGTCGTGACTCCACCGCGGTCGGGTGTTCGAATTAACTGAAGCGTGGCCAAATTTGTTCAAATCAATGAGAGTTTTCAGTCATACAACAATGTACATTTTGGACGGGACCAGATGCTGTGGCTGAATTAACTGAAATTCCAGATTAACGAGATTTTATTGTATTGGCTTCATCGTAGACCACAGAGTGTGCAAAGTTCTCTAGCAAACTAGAGAACATTGCACACTATGTACAGCATTTCCTTACTTTTTTTTCTAAAAGATCACAAAATAATTAGTTCCATTCCTTAGCCAATTGGAATGTATGCGTGAACCATTGCAAAGCTACATGTTACTAAAAACGCCCATGTGTCTTATGATGTATGTGAGATATAAGTATATATATGTGTACTACATAAACATGTTTACATCAAATTTTATGTTTGTTTTTGTATCTCTCACACTATCTTGATTGAAGACATTTCAAAAGTGCCTGTGCAGTTTGGTTTTGATAAATGTTAAAGAACCCCACTTGGCCAGAATTTCCCCAGAGTCTCCCATATTGCATGTCTCATAATCATGCATTATTTTGGATGCATAAAACCCCATAAATTATTATTTATTTTCTTTTGCTATGTCTGGACGATGTTTTTCATAAAGCTTTAAAACCTGCCTTAAGTCATTGAACTTGCACTTTTTCGTAGTTAGGTCCCCAGGCTCTTTATTTTATGCTTCATGATGCAAATGTATGCCTCTTGCAAAAGTGGTAACTCGCACCACATTTGCTGCTTACGTGTATTTGCTTTAGTATGTGCCTGATTGCAGATGTAGCCTTTCTATCCCATGAACAATGTTAATATTGAAACCACATATTTTTATTATGGTGACAAGCTCACTATTGAGGCTTGGATCTTCCTTTATGAACACTATTGTCATTATATTACTGCCCATTAATAAGTGACCTATTGGAGTTTCTCTGTGTGAAATGTTGATGTGCAGAATAATTGACCCTTTCATAGAATGTGGGACATATCAGTCCTACTATTTGGTGAAAATTCACTGTGAATGTATGGTGATATGTAACTGTTTGAGGTATTTTGAGTAATGTATTTCTGGGCCTTTTTGATCATTTATTCGAAATATTTGCATTTATCGATACAACTGAAAAGATACCGTGACTTCTGGGGTTTTTTCTTCGTTTTTCTTTTGTAATCAAATCTGTCTTTAGGACCAGATTTATTTTTATTCTACTAAAAATGCTGGAGGTGCTGCAACTAATTTTTCTCCAGATGCCGCACTTGTAAATATTTGCATATGCGTATTCATTGCAGACGCATGCCCTTCCGGTTTTGGTGATGTGGGAATTCTTAATTTAAGATACCTTGATAAAGTAGCTGACTGGGCTATTGGGTTATTGGTTCTAAAGTTGAACAGTGCAGAAAAACACATGGCTATGAAAAGCAAACACACAGGACAAGCGCTGCCTTTCTACTGAATTTTTTTGTTATGAAAGTGCTGTATAAGTATCTGTAGAAACAGTTACAAAAAAAAGGAAAAGAAGAGGAAGACTTGGAAAAAAATGCATTGACACAAAAATGGAAAAAGAAAAACTAAAAAAGAAAAACTGAAAAAGGAATTAACAATCACAGTGGCCTGCTGTGCAAAATCCTGCATTCTAAAAAACATCGCTCCCCGTCAGATACTGCAGCTAATAGTTTGCTATAAGCAAACTATCGGCTGTAACACACTAACACACAAATGGGGACAGGACAAGTGTTGTGCACCACTTGTCTTGTCCTCTTTTTTCGTTAGTCCTTGGTGCATTTTGCTTAGTGCAACTAGATTAGAATGCCGTATAAATGAGCCCAAGTCCAAACTTTGCTGAAGGTTATGTATGCAAGTTTGTGCTAAAATAAAATCTTATTAGTCATAACTATGGGCATGTTCATAAGACTGGAATTTCACTGCTTATCTAACATGGCTTCAATTAAAACTTATTTATTCATTCATATTTACATTTACCCTGTCAGTGAAGACAGTGCATTGTGCTGCACAGAAAGAGTGGAAGGGTGTGGGTCTGTTATGTTTTGACTTTTCATTGGCACTTCTTGTTGGACTACTGTCGTGAAATCCCTGGTGTGAGGAGCACATGGTATCCGTATTTTTTTTTTTTTTTTTGTAATCCTAAGGACAAATTCGTGGCAAGTCTGTTTACTGTGTTTCAATATTTGGTTGTTCAGTCAAGGTTGACCTATTTCTGTCCAGTGCCTTATATGTTGATGTAGTTCGTGTAATATTTTTTTTTATCGTGCAAGTCATCACATGGAGCTACTTTTCTTTTAAACAATCACCAATTGTTCATATCTCACACAGGTGCCGCCTACAAATGCTTCATATATGTTAGTAAAAGATGGAAGTTGCTTGTCATACTGTTTTTTTGTATGATCACATAATTTTCTTCCATTGTCACTCCTTAAAAAAGCTTTTTATTGGAATAAATATGTCATTAAAAAAGCAATTTCTCATAATCTGCATTGAATTAAACAGTAATACTACTTTGGCCAAGATGGTAGATGCACATTGTTTTTTAATGTCATTAGCTAAAAATATTATCCAATATAGAAATATGTGTGCCTTTTCTTTTCATGCTGTTAGGCACCAAATTTCTGTTCGCATAAAAAAAGTTCTCTAAAAGTACTTACTGAACAATTTATACTTGTTCCATAGGCAACATTACACCTGTTCACTATGATGAACAGCAGAACTTCTTTGCCCAGCTGAGGGGCTACAAGCGGTTTCTGCTCTTCTCCCCTGATCAGTACAGATGCCTGTACCCTCACCCAGTGTGGCATCCTCATGACCGACAAAGCCAGGTGAAGCTAGCATATGATTTGTATTTTTTTGTTTATTTATGTTGCTGAACTTCAAATGAACTCTTGCATTCAGGTCACTGAAATGCTGAAAACATATATTTGAATTAAAACTTGTACATTGGCAAGTTAAGATCAACTATAGTTGCTTTGTAGCCGTGGCTAAGCACTGCTCTAGATAGTATTAGTATTTTCTTTTCCTATGCCATTCCTGCAAACAGGAATACACAATCATTAAGTAAAATTAAGGGGTTAATCATATGGTTGAATTGATTTAGCTAGGAGCTATAATTTTTCCCCATGAATCATTGAAAAGCTTCTACATGCATGCAACCCTTCTAGAGCTAAGCAGAAGGGGAACTGGAAGTTAAAATGTGTCCTGCCTATCCTCTCATCACTCATTTGTTGCTCTCAGGCACTTTTGTCAGATGCTGACCTTGAAGGGTGGCCATAATGGTATTGTTGAAATAAAAACCAAATCACTTACACACTTCTAAATGCACGTGTAGCTCAGGCACACCTAGCTAAAAATTGCAGTTTTCACCAACATGATATGCCCACGGTGGCATACTTACTACTAGCAGGCAGAAATTGGCAGATGTCTCTTTGTATTGAGTTTGACTGTGACATCAAAAATGCACGATATAGATATGACCACTCTCTGCCAATCACATTGGTTGTGGGCAAAGCCATGTCGCACCACGTAGGTACAGTGGCTAGAATAGGAAAGTGTGATGAGTGGCAAGCGGCACCTACGGAGTGCACTGAAGCCTCCGAGGAGGAGCCGCGTGGGGGGCGCGCGCAGTTGTTTATACGTTGTTTGCACATTCTTGACAGTTTCGTCGAGCGCGTTTGTCCTCGTTTTTTTAATTGCGGGGGCACTCTGACACCAGTGCTTCTTTATGCACTCTCATGGCGTAAAAACTGTCATTGTTTCGTCCCGGGGTTCACTACAGGCTACAAGTCAGCTAAAAAGAAGCATGCGTTCGACGTTCCCAAGGACGAAGCTCTGTTAGCGCAGTGGCGGAGAGCGATCCCGCGCGCTGAAAAGCTGCTTTAAGAAAACTCTGCTGTGCGCGAGCGGCACTTCGGCGATAGGTACATCTCCCGGCACTTCGAGCATACTGTGAATGGCGAAATTGTCCGCATTGAAAGGGGTAGGCCCATAGGCGTGCTTGCCGTTAGGGGCGAGAGGGGGCGAAGGTTTTTGCAGGGTGCCTCCTCCCTATTAAATCAGTGTATGAGGCAGATTTTATGCCCCCATTTTAGATGACTAAAAGAGTGTCCCGATGCCTAGTCAATGTAGAGAACAGATTTAGCGCCTCCCTCCTAGGTGGCCAGCCTCCTTTGCCCCCCTCGTGGGGTCCTATGGGTAGGCCTTTCGGCAAAGCTTTTTGCATTTGTAGACGCCCTTGAAATTACTTCTTCAAAGTGGTTTAGTTACAACGAGCTTCACAGTGACAGCTTGGAAAAGCTTGTTTTCTGCTTAGCAAAAAGAAAAATGTCACACTGGGCTGCGCACAACATGGCCCGAGCCTCACCAATCAAGTGACCAAGTTTTTTCTGCTCACCCATTTGCCTTTTTACACAAAGGTACTCCACAAAGACGAGCACCTTCCCGTAAAAAGAGGAAGTACGCATCACCAGGCTTGGAGCCCAATGTTCTGTGGGGCACTTGTAAACTATAAAACTTTTTCTTGGAGATAACAAAGGACGCGCGACCAATTATTAAGAATGCATTGTTGCAAACAGATAGTGAGTCACTACTCGGAAATGCGTTGTATGACCTGTGTGCAGAAAATAAAAGGTTTTCATCCAGATACCGCTCGTGATTCACGTCTTTGAGTATGACGTTATGAATGATGGGGCTTTATATACAGATTAGTGCTTGAGGTAATGATGGTTTGCCGTGGAAGGTGTTGCAAGCAATGGCTCACAGCTGAGTTCATCGTTCCACTCTTCTACCACTTCACATCGATAAATTGTTTCAGTGCCGTCACGCGCTCACTTTCGGCATCCTGTCGACCTGACTATATTTAAGTTCAGTCGCACACCCGTGTAAGCATCCTGTTTTCCAGAAGCTAATTAACATATTTTCTCGGTCGCCATTTGAGGCAATGCAGGGGCAAAAAAATATATATAGTAAATGTTTCACATTGCCCACGCGCGTGGTTGATTCCCGTCTCTGGGCAGCGCATCGCTGCCTTGGGTGACCTGCGAACGTGTGCCAGTGCCATCTGGTGATCTTCCTAAGGCGTTACGCGCTAGCCGGCGCGTTCATCACACTTTCCTATTCTAGCCACTGTAACGTAGGTGTACATGTGGTTCAGCCTTCAGACAATTTCTTTGAAACAAAAGAGTGATAATGATAAGCAAGACATTGTCATCTGTGGCACCTCTCTTAAGAGGGGAATGTGCGAGGTTCTTTTTTCTCCATTCATATCTTGGCATTTAAAAAAAAATTTTTTTTTGGTAGTTCATTTCAAGAAAGGTCTCACAAACATTTTAGCATGATGCTTAGGCTTAAAAGAAAGGTGCTTCAAGGCCCTTTCCAAGCATGCAGTAACCTTATAGACTCTTGGGATTACAATTTTATAGAAACAAAAATGTTGTGTGATAGTGACTTCAAATGGGTTGCATAAATCTTGAGTAAACTTTTATGCACAGTCAACATTCCTATGCAATGGTAGAGCATCAGATTTCTAGCAGAGATTCTGTCAAATGCATGTGTTTTCTGACAAATGGCCATTGTGTGCATGATATGTGCATGTGTCAAGCATGTGTGTATGCCTTACCATGTGTGTGTGTATCATGCTGACTACAAGCATTAAAGAATTCGATGAACTTGTGTGCAGAAAATGCAGCTGTCCTTAGTGCTGTGGTGGAACATCGCCATTGATTAGTATTACATGTGTTAACTCAAGGCTTCAATAAATTTTCAGGGTAGCCTAGTTGTACGACACTGATGTTAGATTGCAAAATTTGAAGCAAGGCGATAAGTCTGTTTCATTAATATTGTAACCTTTGCTTAGTTGCTTGTATCTTTCGTCATATGTGGTTTCTTGGGTTTGTAGGACATTTGAGTTCCAATAATAATTTGATTTATTTGCATTGTAGTGCTTGAGTAGAAGACTTATCTGAATGCATAAGTTGCTGGAAATATGAAGAGCACAGCAAAATTATAAGTTTAATTTGGCACAAGAGTGCTAGATAGTTTTGCTGTTGCTCTTTGTAAGTGACTGTCATTAGTTTTACTCAGAATTGTAATTATTTATTTAGTAAATTTAGCAATGTGAGAAGTACATATAAAAGAGATTGTAATAATGTCAGAAGTACATATAAATGAAATTGTAATGTACGAAATCATCAAATGTAGTCTTACTATAAAAAGCTGGACCTTTAGTTATGTTGTTTCAGTAATGTAGTACTTCTTATTCTAGTTTTTTTTTTTTTTTTTTCAAACTATTCAACTTGTTTCAAAAGGTTGTTTTAACATTGTTGCTAAAATTGGTCTGTCTGTTCATTCTGGTGCCTGTACTCCCATAGTGATGGATGACATGAAAGGCTGACTGGTTTGTAAATTTTTAGGCTTGTGCAAATCTTTTTATTAGAATGAAACGAAAGTTGGTGCATTTCAGATGAGTTAGTCTGCCTAAGAACCTATGTGCAAATTGTGTGTAATAACATGCATTACTCATGAACTGAAACACTGTATTTAAATTTTTAGTATAATGTCTGGTAAGTGCCATTTATTGAGAAAACCACACCACGTTGCTATAAATCTGGCTTCTAAAAATAATCTTGGGCCTGATCCAAGCGCTAAAGTCAAAATTACGCTGATATGACCTAAACTGCAGACAGTGGAAGCAGAATCACCGTAACAGCTCACATATAGCTCGGACCCGCATATAGTTTGGGGTGTAATTTGTGGATAACAAAATCGAGAAAAATAGTTTTTACCCGTATATAGCCCTAGTAAAACGTAAAAAATACATTTATTGACACACTTCATTCATCGTCATCATCCAAAGCACTCTCTTCCGAAGCTTCCTTGTCTAAAATGTTCTCCCACAGCACATCATCCTCAGTGCCATCAAGCGTGATTGAGATGGAGCACTTTTTGAACGCACGGCAAACGAACGCCTCGGGAGTGCAGACCCAAGCCTTCACTATCCACGAGCACTCATCGCTGGCGAGGCCCATTCCAGCCGTCCGGCAGGGGTCACGTCTGGTTCTCCGGATCTCATCTACTCCACATACAGGCGCTTGACATGGTCCTTAAATGGCTTAATAAGGCATACATCAAGCAGCTGCAGCTGTGATGTCATCCCAACGAGCTTGATGTGGGAGTCGCGCAGCGGTCCCTTTACAGAGTTGGTTTGGTGACACCAAAACTTGTCGAGCACAAGCATCGAACGGAGCTCCAGCAGTGCTCCGGACCATTGGCAGCAGACAGACTTTATCCTGTCAAGCACCAGCGATTCGTCCATCCACCCCTTGTCCTGGCAGCAGACGATGATATTTTAGGGGGACTTCTCCCTCTTCGGCAGCGTCTTTCATTTGAACACCACGTAGGGCGGTAGCTTGCAACCGTCTGCAGTGCAGGACAATATTACAGTCACCCGCGTTTTGTTTTATTTCCGGTAGATCACACGATAACTTGCCTGGAGCCTTCTTGATGCACCATCAGTGCCAAGGGCATATCTAGGTAGACTAGCGTTTCATCCCTGTTGCCGATCTGGCCCAGCTGAAAGGGGACAGCCTTTCGAAATGCAATTACATACTTTTGAAACTTCACAAGGTCCTCTTCGTAGCTCTTTGCTAGCTTCTGTGAGGTCGACGTACGCCGACTTAGACCGAATGCTGTTCGCTTTGCAATCTTCCAGCTGAATGCCATTGTCCCAGGCGATCTCCCTTGCCTTTGCTTGTAGCAGTCCGATATTAACAGCGAGATGTGCAGCTCGCTGCTCTCGCACAAAGTCTGCGAGTTCTCGTTCCACATC